AATGTTTATTCCCGCCTTTTCAGTTTGATTCTTCCGTTATCTAGTAATGCCATTTGTTTCTTTTATTTTTTTAGCTATCCAACAGTTTGAATTATCCTATTACTGATTAATGCAGAAGCATGCCGTTCATTCCAGTAAGTGTCTGTTACACAAACGAATACGTTTATTACATTCAGTTGACAAAATAATCGCTAAGCCAAGAATTATATATGAACAAAAGTCCAGGTTCTTTTAATTCATAGATTGCCTTCTTTGGCATTGCTAACCTCATTGTAGACATATATTAAGATCGAATGCAGACACAACACTCACACTATGAAAAAGATCATTTACTGGTTACAAGCACTTGCGCGCCCGCCCGCGCGCACGCACACACACACACACTTTCAAACGAGATTTGGCGGTAAATGAAAGAGAAAAAAGATATGCCGTTAAACACTCGCAAAGTAATATTAATGATACTGCCAATACATCTGCCGGCAGCAAAAACATGATAAAGCGAAAATAACAAAACTGAAATACGGGAAAAAAAGAAAGAAGAGAAAAGGAAAAGGTTAACTTCTGTCGGCAACACAAAATTTCGTCCGTTAACAGTACGGAAGCCAAAGAATGTTCGCTAAACAAGTAAAGCTTTCGTCCTGTCCCGCGAAAAGAGGTGTTCTTGAAGAATATCCGCAGTGATGACGGAAGAGCAGAAAGCTAGACAGATAGCTAAGTAAGTACAGAGACAGATACATAAACACACATATTTTATATCCCTACTTCCATTAACACGCTAGCACAAGTTCGGCTAGTTACAGGACACGAAGGTCACATGTGCGAGTCTGCTCAAAATAGCCGGTGTTACGAAAGAGTGTTGTTACCGGGATGGCTTTTTTGCGGGCTAGGATTTTTCTTAAATGTTTTCTTCTGTCTATATGAAGAAAAGGGTGATACATTATGCATGGATATACACATACAAGCGCGTGGGTGTGTGCATACATACTTTATGTGTATTTCTGGATCATGTGAAGATAGAGGTATTTTTAAACAATTTGTAGTTCATAAAGCTAAAATTAGGTTAGCTTTAGTTGAGGAGACACACCTCTGGGTTGGAATTCTATATGACGATGAAGAAGAAGAGAGTAGGAGGCAGGTTTGCAGTTCCAATCATGAATTTCCGAATAAAGGAAATACAGTCTAGAATTCGATGCAGCATTTGGTCTAACTTTTCTAAGCAATTCCATCTCCTGCCTGGGATGTTTTTCTTTTTTCCCAGACCATTGGCTACCGGCACTCGTCACTTTCCCTTGGCACAAGATCCTTCTATATAACTCACTGATGCCAATGAATTCTACCAATAGGGGCATTGCCTCTTCTTGGTTAAATGTACATGCTAAGACAAGACAAACGGTGAAAGTAATATTCGATGATGTCTTACTAGCATATTTAAGTGGAGTTTGGAAACATCCGGTTCCTAAGTAGTGAATAAAATCAGCGGAAATGGTAACAGAGGCCTAACCTGATGCAGTACATAGGTCAGCGCGATAGGAAATGTCCCACCTGGCCGGAAGTTGTGTGAATAAGGTCAACGTAAAATGAACAAGCAAGGTTAGTTTAGCCTGGTGAGCTAAAGCTGGGTCAGCTGTAATTCGCAAGGACAACGTTGCGTAAACCGAAGTTCATGCGGTACGCTCGCTAAGCTGCAGGTCATATGATCCATTTTTCGAGTGCCTATCTATCCATATCTATCTCTTTATCTCTCTCTCTCTCTCTCTCTCTCTCTCTCTCTCTCTCTCTCTCTCTCTCTCTCTCTCTCTCTCTCTCTCTCTCTCTCTCTCTCTCTCTCTCTCTCTCTCTATATATATATATATATATATATATATATATATATATATATATATATATATATATATAAAAACTACGGAAAATGCCTGCGCGGTAGCCTTTATCTCAAAAATAAAATATACATTTTGACATCGAATCCCTCTGCAATGGGTCTAGCATCTCGCAGGGATTAAGAAGAGAAACGCGGGATATTTTAGGGATCGAGCAGGATGCGTAAAAGGCTAAAACATAGCAATTCTATCGTTAGAGCGAAAATAGATATTTTGGATAGGGTCAAAGAGAAATTTACGAATTCCCCAAATCAGAAGATTGCTATAATATATGTATATATATATATATATATATATATATATATATATATAATATATATATACTTCTATATCTATATCTATCTATTTATCTACCTATCAAACCTATCTATCTATCTATATATCTACCTATCTATCTATCTATATATCTATCTATCAGTCTATCTATCTATATACAATATAAGCAGGTTTACCTGTCTAACATATAGATTAAGATACAGGTAGACATATAGATGCTTACACATCTGTCCACACATAACCATATATTTATCTATCCACACACACACACACACACACACACACACACACACACACACACACACACACACAACACACACACACACACACACACACACACCACATAC